CCAGAGGGCCTGGAGGAAGGTAGAATCTCCAGTGAGTAGTAGTCAATCTGACTAGCCAGGGCTGATACAATGAAATGCAGACGGGTCTCTTGTGATACATTAGTGAATAATTGTTATCAGGACTGACTGTGAGGGTTGGAAATGTAAAGGTGGACATTTTATAGCAAGGAGAGGAGTGATTGACTTTTCAGTCTAGGAGCAGAGGTCCCTAGGACCATCAAGGGAGAAGAGCAGAGAGCAGAACCCTACTCAGAGAAGCAGTGATGCCTGGAATGGAGCCAGAGATGATGATGTGGAGCTATGTAGCAGCTGGAGACTCTAGACCCAGAGAGGGAGAGCGACTGTGTGCTGAAGACCTGGGGAGCACTGGGGAAGGATTGCATGGAGGGGATTGTAACCATGGCAATGAGACGATATATGATAGAATGAATGTAAAACTAATGTTCTCCCATGTATCACAAAATTCACAATAAATCATTTATGGAAAAAAATTTTTTTTTGAACCATCAGGAAAAAAAAAATATATATATAGCTGGGAAGAGTTGCCTCCTCAAAGTAGAGTTGATCATGATGATGCGAATAGAGTAAAGCAATGGAATCAAGTATAGCAATGATTGTGAGGTTGGTGCATGTCGGGGCAGTGTTTCATTCTGTTGTGTATATGGTTGCTGTGAGTGGGTACTGAGTCGATGGCACATAACAATAACAACAACATCAGTAGAGTGTTGGTCTTCAGTAAGAGCACAGATATTACCAATAAAGAAGATAATAATATATGGACACAAATGCCAATAGATGCGTTGATGTGGCATTGGATTAAATTTTTTATTCTCTCTTTGTCACATGTTATAGGAGGATTGCAAAGTACTTGGTATAAAAGTATAAGGCCTCAAGGAACTTACTTATTGCATCTGGATATGGATATACATTATCCAATGTGTTTCTGGGTGGTTATGCAAGTACACATAAATTTCATCTGGACAAAGTGCAACTGGTTGTATGTTCATTGTCCCATAGAGTTATAATGAGCCAAGCAATTCAGATCAGAGAACAGGATGGAGGGGACATAACTGGATATAGTGAAAGAAGCAGTTTTACACCCATGTCTCTTATATACAAAGTGAGTTCGTTGCAAGGCATATAATGACATGGCACATATATAGCTATAGTGTGTATGTCTTGAGAGTTGTGCTAAATGCCTGTGTTACTGGCTTATGCATGTATTATTCTACTGTGCTCTCTGTCATTATTTTAATGTGAATTTTCCCCACTTACAAATAAGAAGTTTACTGTATGCTTTGACTCATAGGCAGCCATATCCAGTCACCTGTACCAGTGTCTCTTGAGTGTTTGAGCACTGTTAATGTTAAATGCCATCGAGTCACTTCTGACTCAGTGATCCTGTGTAGGGTTTCCAAGGATTGGTTGGTGGGTTTGAACCTTGTAGTTATCAGTCCAGTGCCTATCCTACAGTGCCACACTAGGACTCTGTTGTCGTATTATCTCTGTTTAATTTTCATTTGAAAATTTTATCATAAAGTGCATCATGGCTCCCAAATGCAGCAAAACCAGTGTTAGTGATAGCAGCAGCAAGGAGCAAGGAAGAATCGATTTGGGAGTGATACAAAAGGTTCTTAAGGAAAAGATAGGTGAAAAATCATTGAGTGCTTGAGATTTAGGCATGCTAACACAGTGTCCAATGCATATAATGCTCTAACATACTGGGGGATGACTGTATATACACCATGTCATTATATGCTTACTGTATGCTAACATGTGCAAAGCTCTCTAATGATGCTACCTAATGTCAAATGGACATTCATTGCCTTGAATTAAAATGAGAAGTATAGACATAGAGGCTGTAGTTGCTTAGAGAAAGAAAATAAAAAGCACTGTGGATTGGAATAATTACAGAACTCTTAGATGAAGAAGGTAGAACTTATATTGGGACTTGATACACCATCGTTGTCTTGGCTCCTAAGATAAGAAAATGATCTACCTGTACCTACAAAACGCATTGATACACTTTTACCCTTCAACAAATGCCTGTTAAATTGGATTAATTGTGCTGTTATATTGTGAATGTTCGAATCCTTTGTTTGAATTCTTTGAAAGAAAAACAATAAACATAAGTATCTGAATGTGCAGTATAAAAATTCACCTTTGCCAGAGTTATCTAGTCTTAATTACAATTTAAGGTAGACCCAAACACGGTGTCCTCTGAAGGATTTATTAAATGTTCTAACAAAATGACAGATTCCTAGAAAGGAATGAACAACCAAAGAAGAGATAACCTTTGTTCATTCATCTTAATCTGAGAATATTTTCTCTCCTAAATGAATGCTGTATGACATTATGCATTTGTTAAAACCTCCAAAACTTTACAATCCAAAGTGTGTACCTAATATAAACTGTGAAACTTAGTTAATAATAATAATGACAAATAATACTAGTTTATCAGTTGTAACAAACATACCACACTAATACAAGTTAATAATAGGAGAATCTGCTGTGGGTATGGGGAGGGCCAATTGTGAGGAGGGCTATGTGGAAACTCCTGTACTCTCAGTACAGTTTTTTTTTTTTTTTTTCTGTAAACCTGAAACCTCTTTAAAAATAAATACATAGTGTACTTAAAACATAAAAAGAAATGAATGCTGTAACTGGAATTGAATATTCCATAGAAAAATGATTTGTCATGTTAATAAGAAAGAGAATGGAATAATTAAATGATTTTGGGAAAGAGGTATATAGTTGAACTTGAGGCTGTAGTACAGGGTTTGGCAGTAGCTTTACTCAGTCTCCAACTATTCCTCTGTTGTCACAGATAGTCTTGAGGCAAATGTTTCCTAGGTCCAAATGAGCAGATTGCTCAAAATGATGTCAGCTGTTTTGTTTGGAAACCTTACTATTCTCTAAACCATAAAAGGATGTTTTTGTTTCCAAAATAGAAACATTTTCTTTGATTTTGTGGTATAATTTGATAACTGTGATACAGTTTCAAAATTTTCTATTAGATTAGGGATGTGCAAATGACTGTCAGGAGATTTTGCTCAGAGTCCAATTTGCTATAGCTCATCGCTTATTTGTAGGAAAAACTTTTCAATTCAGTCCATTAATTGAAGTTCTTGAAGAAATTCCCCAAGAGTTTAACTTTACTGGACTAGAGGTTAGAGACTAGTCTGAAATCATGTTGGAATTTTTTCCAGTGCAGGAGCCACAATTGGAATGTGAAATGAAACCAAAGGAGAGTCTCATGCTAAGTACAATGATTAATCTCTGCAATGGCCTAGAGGTAGCTATGTGTGGATCACAATATTCAGGCAGTCTTAGCAGAATTGACAATATTGAGGCAGGGCATAATTCATAAAGACTAACATCTAAATGATATCCAACTGTATTAGAGTATGGGATAAAATCATGAATGAGATTTGAGGGATCTATGGAAGTATCTGTGATTAAAAAATTCTGTTAAGGGACTAAAGCAAATATAGATGGCAAGATGAAAAACATCTAATAAATTATGTTACCCACAGCTGTTGATCCTAAAAACTTGGAAAAATAGTGGGCTTCCCTTAGAGTTCTAAAGCAAAGACTTTTTAGCAATTATATTTCAACTCTGTTGTTTTAAAAAGACTGTTGGGATGCTCTGTGAACCATATGCATGTAAAATATTGGACCAAGTTAACAGGAATACAGATGTAGTTGTTTATATACACATATATGTTTACATGCACATGTGTGTGCACACACACTCATGATATTAGCCCTGAATTTAGACTCTGTTAAAAGTCCCGCTGCTCTTCATATCCTGTTTAACCCAACCTCAGGCTATCAACTGACAAAACCAGTTACTGCAAACTTAAAATCAATACTTGGGTACTGCTGGGGTTCTTCCATTCGGGGTAATATTGGAAGCATCATATGTAGATGGCTTACAAAGCAGGAGCTTAAAATAGCCTAAAAATTATGGGTAGCAGGTGAAGTGCATAATTCCCTTTGAAACACAACTAATCTTTCTATTTGTTTCTTTATGTAGATCACATTCTCTGGAAGTTCCAAAACAATAACAATCACTTTGTTTTTTTAAGTGCAGGTATGTGTCAATTAACATCCTCAGTATTTTTTATGAAATAGGACATTAGGTGATGTTGTTTGAAAACCATATTAAAACTTATGGGACCCTCCTTCCTGTTGTCCTTGTCACTTCTGTTGCTGCTGGAGATGTTTTTGGAGCCTGGATGAATGGGCTTAGGCAGTGTTGGGGACTGAGAGTGCTACTGCCCCCCTCCCCCTCCCCCACTTGTTTCACCTCCCTGAGCAGCAGAGAGCAGGAACAGCCCTGGCAGACAGGACAAAACCAACTTCCACAGGCCTCTCTCCCAGGGGGGAGTCTCACCTGCCTGTATTCTACCTGAGGTCCACTGCTGCAAGAGTCTGTCTGGGTTTGGGATCTTTAAAACCATTGTTGATGTTGTAAGCTGCCATCAATTTGGTTCATAGCTACTCCATAGAGACTTTCCTAGGTTATAAATCTTTACTGGAAAGAAAGTCTCATCTTTCTCCTGCTGAGCAGCTTTTGGGTTTGAACTGGTGACCTTTTGGTTAGCACTTCAGTGTATATCCTACAGTACCATCAGTACTCCTTTTAAAACTATTAGGAGGAAATAATGATGAAGGATGATTTCCCTCTTAAAAAACAATGTGGGACCATGGGTGTAAATGCAGTCAGAAGTATATTCTGTTATGATGCTGTGGGTTAATGGACTAGACTGAAAAAATTGATTTTAAATGCAAAGTCAGCAGTTCAAGCTCACCACCTGTTCCTCGGAAACCCTATATAGGTTGCTATGGGTCGGAAAAACAACAACATCGAAAACGAGTAACATAATATGATAACAGATGTCCTTCAAATACTAATGAGAGGTTCTAGTTCAAGCTTTGGTGTTAATTTTGTTTAACAATATTTAAACTTTTTCTGAAATCCTAATTTGGTCTTCAGGATATCTTTTGAACTTTGAATGAAGAAAAGTTAGGAGATTCTTCATTGACGTGTTTCTGCTTTGGATAAGGGAAAATAAAAAAGCAGCAATATATTTATATATATATTTGTGTGTGAGAAGAATATGTAACAGGTATTTCTTCAGGCCACATCAGCCTGAGTTTTCTCCAGAATGCAAAATAATAGTAAACTTGACAGCTCTTGAGAGTTATCTCAGGAACATGGAATAGTTGAATGCTCATGAATAAAAACAAACGGAATACAGAGTTCTAACTGTATTCTTCCCTTCCATAACAATAGTGTTGATTAACTTCCTTTGAAACATCAACACCACAAACTTCTGGTTGCTAAAGCTGAGGAGTCATCCTTGATTCTTCTTTTTCTATAATACTTCATAGCGAGGGTGACTATGGAGTCCTGGTGTGGCTCTGCAGAATAAGCACTGGGCTGCAAGGTCAGTTTGAACTTCAAGGTCGGTGGTTCAAACCCTTTAGCTGCTCCTCAGAAACACTCTACAGAGTCACTTTGAGTCGGAACAGACTTGATATCACTTAGCAACAACAACAGCTATGTAAGGTACTGGGACCAGAGACAGAAATCACTTCTGTCCCAGGATATGTATAGTTAACCTGTTGTTGTTGTTAACCTACTCCAAGGTTCTACCATGTCTCCACTCTCCTGTTATAACACTGGAGTCCTGGTCCAATGCTGTAGGATAAGCACTGAACTGCTAACCAAAAGGTGGTCATTCAAACCCTGTAGCTGCTCCTCAGAAACCTATACCAGGCCACTATGAGTTGGAACCTACTTGATGGCACTTCAAAACAACAACAACAGCAACAACAGTTATAACAAATCCTAGAGAATCTATTTCTACTCTTGCCGTCCTGTGATTCTCAATACAGTGGTCAAAACGATCCTCACAAACAAATTAGGTCATGTAATTCCCTTGCTCACAATTATCCCAAAGTTTCACATTGTCCTGAGATGAAAATTCACACTTCTTCCCTGGCTTACAACGCCTTGCCTAACTAGTATAACTCATACCACATCAGAATTCCCAGGTATCACTATAATGGACTTTTTTAAAATTTTTTTTATTCTGTCAACATGCCAAGTTCATGACTAGTTTTAGAACTTTGAATTTGCGCTTTTCATTGCTTAGAATGCTTGTTCCCCGGATCTTACCCATCTGACTCCTTGTTATTCAGATCTAAGTCAAATGTAACTGTTTCTAATGCTATCTTCTCTGTCCCTCCAGTAACTCATAGTTACATTAATCACTTATCACTGTCTGAAATTATTCTAATCTAAATTTTGATAGTGTGGTGCTATAGGATAAGCACTTGACTGCTAGGTCAGTTTGAACCTCAAGGTTGGCAGTTCAAATACACCAGTCACTCCTCGGAAACCCTATACAGGATTGCTATGAGTCAGAACTGACTTGATGGCACTTAACAACAACAACAACAACTATACAAGAGAAGTTCAATAATACCATTGATTATATCTAGCTTGTTTTACAATGTATTCTCAGATCTTAAAGGCTTGGCACACAGTAAAATATGGAATGAGTGAACAAAAGAAACACACTCAAGTGAACTACTAATGCTAATAAATACATACTTCTCAGAACTATAGAATCTGTGGCAGAAAGAGGATTCATAGAAAATAGGTTACCTTCTAGGCCAGCTTTAGAAAGGTCACCTTCTAGATCAACTGGCTACTTGTTCCTTTTATTTATTTTGTGAATTGTTGTGTTTTTAAGTGCTATCGAATTGGTTCTGACTCATAGCAACCCTGTATAGGGTTTCTGAGGAGCTTCTGGTGAGCTTGAACCACCGACTTTGTGGTTCAAACCGACCTTGCTGTAAGCACATTAACCCACAGTGCCATACCAGGCTCCGCTTCGTGAATATATGGTCTAAAAGTTATGCTCTTATTAGTATAGCTAGTTAGTTTTAATGTATCCCAACCCACTGAGCTTGGAATAACATAATAGGACATCAACAAAAAAAGGTAAACATTTTCCTTTCATCTGAAGGCAATAGGTTTATAGAATAGAGCTTCTTTTTCAGACTTTTTAAGCTTCATGTAAGAATCTCTGGTGGTACAGCAACTGAACACACAGCTGCTAACCAAAAGGTCAGTAGTTTAGACCCTCCAGCTGCTTCATAGGAGAAAGATGTGACAGTCTGCTTCTATAAAGATTACAGCTTTGGAAACTCAATGGGGCGGTCCTATTCTGTCCTGTAGTGTTGCTCTGAGTTAGAATTGATTCAACAGTGATGTCTTATTGAGCTTTATGTCAAATGCTTTTTCATTTCAACTTTGTCTGGTTGGGGAAACCCAATTCTGTTTATGATTCTTAATATTTTGTTGTTGTTATGTGCTGTGAAGTCAGTTCTAACACATAGTGACCCTGTACAGGGTTTCCAAGGCTATAAATTTTTACATGAGCAGAAAGCCTTATCTTTCTCCCATGGAACATCTGGTAGTTTTGAACTGCTGACCCTGAGGTTAGCAGCCCGATTTGTAACTCCTACGCTAACAGAGCTCCTTGATTCTTAATATATAACTATGCAAATAAATGTCCAATAACTGAGAAGATGAACCTAAAAACATTGCTTCTTCCCAACAATTGAATAAGGACAGAGAAGACTTTTCTCTCTACTTCCTTCTACCATGTCAAGAACATTTGCTTATACTATTTGTGAAAGAATCTGCTGATGGAGGTAGGAAAATCTAATAGAAGATAAATTGCAGTTTCCTTGATGAGAGAGAATGGAGGGACTGAAGGATGGGTCTAGGGCTAGATGGGCTGGAAGAGTGGAAAACAGCCTTGTCTCAGAATGGGATATGGAGTAATAGATGTGGTTGGCAGTGGGGGAGAGAAGAAAGGGAGGGAGGGATCTAAGTCTGGTAGATCAGATAACAAAGAAGCATTTTATCTTGTAGAGGCTTGCAGAGGCAGGGATCTGACAAGAACAATAGTACCTGGGCTTTTAAATTCTAAGTGTAAGCAGTAGTTAAGGAATTCCTCATGGATTCTAAAGTGTGAGGCCATCAATTATGAAGACAGTGGTTTCTGAGTCATCTCAAACAGGTTCTGTTCTCTTTTTGAGAAAAGACAGAGGCTCAGATATTTCTTTAATTTGGTTCACTGGAAGAACTGAATTCTTTGTATATTCTCTAGTTCATTTGACTTGGGGAAACAATTTGCTATATCTGGAAAGCTTTAGTAAATATTTTAATTGATGTCAACACATCTTGGTTATGACTCTTTTTGGTAACCAATTTTATTTTTGAAGTATGAGAGTTATTCTTCAACTTTATAGATTATGGGTAAAAGAAAACAAAATAAACCCTTTGAATGGATTTTCGAGTGTTTTTCAAAGCTTCTATCATGCAGAAATGTGTCTGGTATCTGGTATCTCTATGACTTGCTTTTCTATTCTTTACCTTTAGGCATGGATGTTCACAATAGTCCAAGCATGACGTCTGTTAATTAGGAAGTACTCCTGGTTCAACAGAAGCAAATGAGCCACTGGAAGGAGGACTTGCCTTTGACTGTTCTCTTTCTCCATTTTTTTTTTTTTTTAAATAAGCAAAAATTTCCTTCTTTTAACAACATTACAGACCTAGGTCTAAAAATTGCTCTCAGGTTTTGGTGTACATTTTCTACTGTACATTCATAAATATGCCAAGATGCCTGCCCCACTACTTGTGAGTATGGCTTTGCAATGCTCTGTTGAACACCTTTTGAGTTGTGTCTTTAGCTTTGTTCTGTCATGTTGTTGCTGTTAAGTACTGTCGAGTCGGTTCCAACTCATAGCGACCCTGTACAGGGTTTCCGAGGCTGTACATCGTTATAGTAGCAGAAAGCCTCATCTTTCTCCCACGGAACATCTGGTAGTTTCGAACTGCTGACCTTAAGGTTCCCAGCCCGATTCATATCCACTATGCTATCAGAGCTTGTACTGTCATAATTGGGTTCAAATGGTTGGCCTTTCGGTTATTAGCCAAGCACTTTAATCACTGACATCAGGGCTCCTGTCATATTGAGAGAAGAGCAAATAGGAAATAGGTAGTGATTGTCATAATTGAGTTCATTATTGAAACAAACTTTAGATAAACTGTTAGGCATTTAAACATTAGGCATATAATTGGAAAGTTGTTTTGTGCTCTCTAAATTGTTCCTGTAAACTTGGATTTAAAAATTGTAGGAGGGAGAGGAATATAAAAAAGCAAGAGAAAGTATTAGAAAAAAGTAGTGCATTTGCCAGATTATTTTGTTTCTCTTTGCATACCTTTTACAGATTTGATGAAAGCTTGGCTTTTTTGAAAATGGTACTGTGTACTCATACTTAAACCATAAATCTCTTGAATTTGGAGCTCAGTTTTAAAACACTTTGGGAATACTGATGCACCTTTCCTTGTATGTATCTTTTGAAACACATACAC